TAATATATATATATATATATATATATATATATATATATATATATATATATATATATATATATATGCAAATTTCATTGAAATTGTGTGCCCATTTTGCATGATTCCCATCGTTTTTACATTATTCTATGCGTTATTATTTATATCCAAGGTTGGTCTCATCGTCAAGTTATTCTATCATTTTATCTCTTATCAGTAGTATCAAAAGTTAAACGATTTTGTGCAAACTTAATAGTTGTAAAATGAAAATTTGTAGGGGTTTCAAGAAAAAATTGAGAATTTCTCGGTTGTTCGTGACAGGAGGACAACAGTAGTAACGGGATACAAACGATGGTGTTCAACATTCTCACTCCTGTTGAATCCGCTCATCGTGTACCTGGAAAGAAACAGTTCATTTGTGGAAATATTTAAAAAAATTCTGTCGAAGCACGAACCAAGCAGATACAGAATAATCGAGGTGGAAAGAGATGATTTGTGGGCATTCAAGCTGCTCCCGAACATCACAAAAATATTTTCCAAGCCCGGCTATCCCAAACATCCTCCAAATACGGTTGTTCCGGAGTATTCAGCCGTCATGCACTGCAAATACGAAGTCATGAATCGATCCATCGTGGAAAATCCCTTCAAGACGAATTATTTTGCATGGCTTGATATCGGCTACTTTCGGGATTTCGCTGTTAGTGACGATCCGTATTATTTTGTGAAGCTCAATAACGAGACTCTCTTTCCTCAAAAGTTTTACTTGGATGTCCCAGATAACTTCGATCGCTCAACAGTAGCGTACAATGAAATCTATGGTTTATTGCAGAATAGAAAACCTTGCGACATTGTTAAGAATAATATGGTTTGGGTAGGCGGTGGTTATTTTATAGGAGAAGGCGATGTTCTGATGAGATGGTGCGGTGAGTATATGACTGCGTGAGCACTGACCAACAGATCATCTACTGGCTCTTCAGCAACAAAAAAAATTTAAAGGTATCTACTTCCATTCAAACTTATACAAATATTTCTTCAAATGTTGATCCATTTTTCGTCATTGAGACTGCTAGCTGACCGGCTAACGTAACAGGTGCTCGTGATATAAGAACCTTTTTGAACAATCTTTTTAATAATGTCTATTAATTTATTTAATTATTTATTAAATGTTGACTGATTTCTAGTTTTTTTAATTTGGTTATATAATTTTTGGATATTTCTTGATTTAATAAAAGCAACTATTGTGTTTTTCTTTCTTTACTAAAATCTCGAAATTGTTTGTAGATTTGTACAGTTAAGTGTTTGTTCGAGTTTGAACAAGCCTTGCAAATATTTTTTCAAATATGGTTCATTGATTGGTTGGTTGATTAGTTGATTGAATGAATGGTTGGTTGGTTGATTGATTGATCTCATAGTATTTTATATATGAAAAAAAAATCCGATTAAGCCAACATACGGCTTTACTTGGCCACTGTATTTTACCAGACAAAAGCAATTTCTTTATTTATATTGACAAAAATAATTGTGAAATGAATATATTGACTTATTTAAAGCATTATATGTAAAGAAAACCGCCATGACACTGTTGTATGAGACCCAGTAAGCCACTGCAGTAAGCCAACGTATGATTTCAACAACCATAATTTCTATGAGCACCAGCAGAATGTAAAATATTCATTGAATATAATGAAGATAGTTGTTCAAATAACAATTTTGATCTATTTAGGTCGTTTATTTCATGAGCAAACAAATTTTTAACATGATCGAATAGTGTAAAAAAGGGTGACTTTAGTTCAATCCTACTAAGCCAACCTTCGGCTTCAGTAAAAAACCACCGGATTTCACAGGATCAAAAGTATAATTTTTATATTCAAATTAACAACAATAAATTAATAATACATAATTTTATTTAATAAAACATAATTTTATTTAATAAAATTAAAGAGAATTACTACAATGTTTTAAGCATATTAAGTCAAGTAAATATTTCATATAGCTTGCTCGTTAAAATCCATGCAATTTTGTAAGCCAATAATAATCCAAGCACGACAAATTATTCTAATTATATGAAATTATCCACATAATTGAATAACTAGCAAAAATCATTGAATATTAGTTATTTTCTTATCTTCTTATCTCTGTAATCGTTTTTCTTCTGT